TTTACAATTTTACTGTTTTGAATTTATGAGATCCAATTTTTACTTGAATTACATATTTAAAATCATAAAATTGTACAATTTAACAAGTTTAAACACGATTTTAACAACCATGATTCTTTTGCTTAATTGATGCAAGTTAAGGTCTTATTTCTTAATTCTAAAAAAGAACAAGGGATTCTACAGAGAGACAAATAGGCCAAGAACAAGCAGATCTTTTTAATAGAAATTTCTAACAATAATATACAGCTCTTGTCAGTTTTTGCACATTTAAATATGATGGAAGCACACTAATTTACCACCCCTCCCAACCCACATTGTCTTTCTTCCCCAGAAGGTATTCATCTGAAGACTAACAACTTAATATCATCTTGAATGAGAGCAGTGCCTGGGTGAGTTAACAAGAGAAACAGCTGTGCTGCACATTGCATTTATTTGGCACTCATCTGTACAGAAATAAAGTGTGCACCTATACGAATACCAGGAGATGAAAGCGCTCATTTACAGCAAACAACCTCACTCCTTCAAACGTGTTCTGATTTGTTCTTGCTCATAAGTGTAGGAGTGACAGAGACGACCCCAATAAGGAACAGGGTGGCAATTGAATTGAAGTCATATAGATCACCTACAGATTGTAGGTCCCCAAGAGCTATTCCAGCCTGCACAAGAAACAGAAAAACACATATTAGTAAAGTACAGCAAATATCATTTAAGTGCATAAGACACACATTAAGTAAACCAAATTGTCAGTTTAAAGAATTGAGTTGTCCAAATATAATACCCTGACAGTTATGAAAGCAGCAGGGATGAGTCCAATGAATGTTGCCAGAAAGAAAATATGGTAAGGCACATCTACAATTGGTGAAGCAACGTTGATAAATGTATTTGGCAAGGTAGGAGTAAGCCTAAGGAAAAGCATGTAGTTCAAAAGTCCCTTCCTTCTTTGAGCCACCTGCAAGTTAGAATGGAAAATTTATTCCATATTACAGGCTAATGTAAGCAAAGATGGTTCCAGGAAGGAGTTGAGAATCACCTGGGCCTGGAAGAAACTCAGCTTGTCTGGCCAAAGAGAGAACACAAGGGGGCGGCCAATCAATTTCGACAGGAAATAGCAAGAAGAAGCCCCGGCAGTGGCAGCAAACACAACTAAAGCTACACCTTTGAGGACTCCAAACAGGGCTCCAGCAAGCAATGACATGAAAACAGTCCCAGGAATCATGAAAGTTTGCATGAATATGTAGACTACACAATATCCTACCAGGACTTGTACAGTATAGTCACTTGTGTAGATCTCAAGATGATCTCTACAAGAAACATCATAAAAAACAAAATCATCATACTGTATTGGAACAAACATGAAACCTCAAATAAGAGGTAATGCAGTTATAACAAACAGTAAAGAAGCAATAATATGACAAGAATATCTCATGACCTAATCACACCAGTTAATGGTTACAAGAAGATTCTCCCTGAGTCAAATGCGCATAATTTTCCAAGATGGTACAAATGCACAATATTAATAGCAGAAACTAACATCTTCCAAAACAAAGTTGGATTCTAGAATATCAATCTAAGAAATAATAAAAAAATATATTCCTTTCTTAAGAATGTACCAATTCAATTCTTCTAAACATAGGAGGATGAAGAGATACTTTATTCATGTCTCTTGTAGGAATAATAAGTAAGATCCAATAGGGCCCAAAATCTTATGAAAATGGCAACAATTCCTTCCATAACAATGGGAACAGGATTTTTTCATGACAAAATGCTCAGCTTTTGCTCCAGACAAAGCAACAAGTCCCTGAAAGCATCTTTTAACATATAACTTCTTGATCTACATTCCTAAAACCATAAATATATCTTTGATCAACAAGAATGACCAGAAGCCAAGAGACTCTTGATGTTCAAATTCTTATTTTCTTACCTACAAGACAAAAAATTTTATCTTTTTCCTAAAACCCAACAGATCTAAAATAAAATCCAAACCTTAGAACTTGCAGATCTTCAAGGCTTCTGGGCAGCCTCAGAAAGCTGTAATCCGAAGAGGGCATGGTAAGGTAGACACAAAGAAGCCCCAGCACAAATCCCAATACAACCATTGACGCCCCAGCTACCTCCCAAAAGCTGAGGGGAAATCTCGACTTGGGTACCCTTATTACCTCTCCTTCCATCTCCATTACCTTCTTCTCCTTTTCCCTTGGTTCCTTTCCCTCAAAACTTCAGAGTTAAGAGACAAAAAAGAGAGAAGGGGAGGGAATAGGAGAAGTGCCCGTTTTCTCCTCCTTTGCTTTGGAAACACTTCTTCGCTTCTCCCTCTTATCTATCTATCTCATTGTTAGGGAGAGAACGAATATTCGACGGTGGGAGAATTAATTCCGATATAATGTTATAGTGGTAGCAGAATTAGAAAGAGAAACAACCAAAAAGTTCGGATATTTTACCTCGAAAACCAGAGTCGTCGGTTGATTGGTTGCCAGATTTTCTACGGAGAGAGAAGGGAAAGCAACGGGAACGAATGCCTCTTATTTAGTTTTTTCTTTCGTCCTTCTTTTATTCTTGAATTTGTAATTTGTAACACCTTTTTTTTTTTTTTCTTTTTTCATTTCATTACATTGGTTTGGTTTTTTTAATATGTGTTTTTAAAGTAATAATAATCGTATATGTTATTTTTATTGAATAGTAAATTAAATAAAAGTAAGTTTTTTATTTTTTTTATTTTTTTTATTAATAATAACAATATGATAACTATACTTTTAATTTTTTAAAATAATGTTTCATTCCTCCCAAATAAAATAAATATTTTTTAATTTTATTTTTAAATTAAAAGTTTAAAGATAATTTTTTTATCTATATTATCCTTAAAAAAATACAAATAATGAGATTTAAATTACAATAAGATAAATACTTAAAATAAAAAGATAATGATAAAATAAAAATAAAAAATATTTATTTTATTTTAAATATAAAAAATTATTATTTTGAGAGAAATTTTAAATAAAAAAAACCTTAATTACTCTATGACGGAGGAGTATTAGTTTTCAACTAAGGTCCAAACCCCAAGAGTTAGAATTTAAAAATACATCTAATGAAAACGGAAAAAAAAAATACCATAAGAAGTAAAAATGTGTATTTATTATTGTTGTTAAGTTTTTATCTAATAAAAAATATTATATAAGATAAATAAAGGAGATAGTCAGAATCAAGACTTTTTTTCGATTTTTCGTAGGGTTTTTATGCATGTCAAATGTTAATGTTTAATTAGTATTTTGTAATCAATTGTTAAGTTAAATTTATCATGAAGTTTTAATTCACAAATATCCTTTCATTGCTAAGAATATTAAAAAATAGTTCCCTAAAAAATTGTTTTAATGGTTAAGAGTTTAATTTTTTTATGAGAGATTATAAATTTAAAATTTGAAATAAGTAAAAAAGAACTTGGGACAGAAAAAAATTATATTTTATTTTATAATTTATTATTTTAATATAAAAAATTTTTAAAAATAAAAAAATTTTAAACAATAAATTCAACTAAATTCACAATAAATAAAAAGTTAATGATAAGACCATTTACCTGGGAAAGATTTGATATGAACAAATCAACCAAAAGGAGAATAAACCCGCTACAACAAAATTTCTTTATAAAATTGAAATAAAAAATGAAAAAAAATGATATAATAAAAATAATATAACATCAACTAAACTAAAGTCATGAATTTAACCTACTTAAATACAAAAAAAAAAAAAAAAAAAAAAAAAGAGGTTAAAGTCACAAAAAATAGTGGTGCATCCACATCAAAAAGCAAATAAATGAAATAAATGTATAGGACATTTGTTTCATGACATTCTACTGGTCAATGCACGGCTTTAATAATAAGATTGAGATGAATTCAAAAAAATTGAAGGTGTTAAGTAAAAAAGTAAATAAAACATGAAGGGCTGAAGTAGGATCCCACTAACAAACAAATGCAAGAGGGTACTAATTTAGAAATTTGACCACTTACGTTTTTTTTATTTTTTTAAGAAATACGACAGAACAGACACCTATGCGCCACGATAAGCATGTGAATGTCTACTAGCAATTTGTTAGTCCAAATTCAACCCAAACGAATTTGATTTTTTAAAATAAAATTTTAAATTAAAATTTTTTGTAAAAAAAAAAAATAAGTATTGAAAAAATTTTCTTTTAATAAATTTTGATATAATTTAATTTTAAATTAATTAATATTTAATAAGAGTATTATATGTTAAGTGAGAAAATTTTACATCAAGTATAAAAATAATAAGTTTATGAGTTAAATACAAGGAGAGCTACTCCACCTATTGCCAATTGGTTTTAGGTTGTATGCAAGCCTTGTGTTGAGCCCACATGCAGGATTTTCAATATGATATCAGAGCATAGGTTCTACTATGAGAAACCCGTTGTTAGCCTACCTAGCAGGACCTGAAGTTGATATCGGGCCTGCAATTAAAGGGGCGTGTTAACTCACGTGACAAGACCCGACATTCATAGTGGATCTGCACGTGAGGGGGCGTGTTAAGTGAGAAAATCTTACATCAAGTATAAAAATAATAAGCTTGTGGGTTAAATACAAAAAGGACTACTCCACCTATTGCTTATTAATTTTAGGTTGGATGCAAATTTTGTGTTAAATTAACGCGCAAGATTTTCAATATTATATACCAGGAGATTAAAAAAAAAAGCATGTGAATGTGTGTGGTACAGTGGGAAACGGCGCGACACAGAAAGAGGCAGGTAATCATTACCGTTCGTCAACGAGAGACCCATGTGCGGTGTGATATCCACCTCACCCATTATTTCATTTTTTATTATTGAATTACAAAACCTAACCCTCGTTTTTTTTTTATTTCAGCTCCTTCCGCGTGATAGTGGTGGTGGTTCTGGTGATCTTGTCTGTGTCTCTCTTGCTTGTAAACAACGTTTTTTTCTTTTTGGTTTTTTCAACGAACTTAATATTATATTATATGAGTTTTTTTTTTTGTTAAGCAATTTTAATTGTGTTAAGTTAATACAAATTTAATTAAATTAATATTTATTAATTAAAATAATTTAATATAAAAATTAAAGTAGACCATTTTTATTATATTAAAAATTTTAAATACCAACAATATGTTAGTTTAAATAGAATAAATTTGCTTTCGTTAAAATAAAATATTGAATTTGAATATTATGAATGGAGAAATAAATATTAGAAAAATTTTTTTTAATAAGATTTAACGTGATTCAATTTCAAATTAAT